GTGTGTGTGTGTGTGTGTGTGTGTGTGTGTGTGTGTGTGTGTGTGTGTGTGGAATACCTACCTGGTCAGACTCCTTACTTCTTGGCTTGTCTCTGACTCAGACCTTAGACAAAACTAGAATCTTGTGTGGTCACCTCAAACTCAAAGTAAGTTTTGAACTTTTGACCAACTTCAACTTCAATCCCAATTTAACGTAGCAGAAAGTTCAAAGAAATCAACAGTGCCGTAAATTAAACTAGATCTAGTCTACCAATTACACTTACGGACTTTTAATTTGCTCTGGTTTTGGGAGATGAGATGAATAAAGGAGATACAGATGCCGTGGACACAGTCACACACAGGCCTTACGAGGCTGCTGGCTGCTGCACAAACTGTAACTGTGACTGTGACATTTTTAGAATAGAATCTTAGCTGTTTATATTTATTTGAGTCAGACATTTTTTGTTGGTAATTTGATCTTATTTCGTTATTTGGCGGTCGTTGCAGTTAATTTGAGGTTGCTTGTCTGGAAAGAGTTCCGTATTTTGTGATGTCTCACGAGACCAAAATGTAAGCCATTTACAGCTACTAGATCTTACATTATAATTAGGCGTTTTGTTTCACATTTGACATCTTCAATCACTTTTCAGTTAAATTACCCGAAAATATGATGTGCAAAATATATTAAGGGGGAGGATCAGAAGGGTAATATGATATTACATGTGTACAAGATATATATGTCATGAATTGATTTAAACATATTAACGTAGACTTCTATATTATATTATATTCTTTAAAAATATTGGGACATATTTCCTCAAATGGAAACACAACCATAATGCGTGTTTTTTTCAGAACTTTTATACGGAGGAAACGTTTGTTTTTGGCTTTCACGTTTTTAGTCGTTCGACTGTTATAGCCAAATACATTTGTTCATCATATGTTGCGAATAGGCTTAGTCCCGTGACAGAGATCACATGACCACCTTCGTTGATAAAACTCGAACCTCTAACCTCTCCTCAGCTGGTCTTCGTAAATTTCTGAGCCTTCACTACACATTCTGCATTCTTCCGCCTTCCTTCCCCTGAGTCACACATCACTTTATCACAAAGTGTGCAGGCGTCTTTCCCGGGGTGAGTCACGAGTTTACCTTGTTTGCTATAGTGTGGGTCAAGATAGCTCTAGATCTAGATTTAGATCTACACAACATGCGGAGGGCTTATTTTTTTGTGGCCAATGCAGGGAGCGTCAGTTCGTATTCGTAGCACATCTAATTTTGTTGTTGTTGTTGTAATTGTTGTGCTCGCCTGCCTCTTGTGTTTGTATTTGACTTCAATGTATTTGTTGTGCCTTTCCCATCCATGTCTTGTTGTTCTTTGGCTTTGGTATCACTTGTCGCCTGTTTGAAGTTAGGCCCTTGTTGTAATGGTACATACTTTATTGAAAGTGGCTATTCTCACCCGCCCGGAAGTTCTCGCAAGATCAACTCCTCCCCTCTTCTCTCTCTCTCTGTCTCTTTCTGAATACTGTGTATCGGTGTGGACGATCAAATTGACCAAAACAAAGTTAAAAAATGATGTTAAAACACAAAAGTAAATTAATTTGGTCGTCTACAAAGATGCTACGGCTATTTAACTTTTCGAATCGAGCCGAACTACGCGGGTCGCCATTTTGTTTTGCCCGGAAATTCTCGCGCTACTCCTCTCTCTCTTTCTCTCTCTCTCTCTCCACTGCCCACAGACAAAATTGTACGCTTTTAGTAGGCTACAATTGTAATGGAACGTTTGTTCACGGCACAGAATTCTACAATTTTTCTGTTATCACAGTGTAGAATTCTGTGGTTTAGGTTGAACGCAAAATTTGGTGAACGCGCACTGGGTGAGAATAGCCACAAGACTCGCCTGCACTATTCTCACTCCGGGTCAGAATAGAGGTGGCCTACTTTATTCTAAGGGAGTGTATACAGACCCGGTAACCGGGAACAAAGTCACAAAGTATACAGACCCGGTAAGGGAACTCTTTTGTGATTTCGGAGAGTTTCAGCGCCCTCTTGGCTCAGGGTAGACCTAGGTTCTTCTAGATCTATGGTCTAGATCTAGGCAGACAGACTTAGACTTAAATCTTTGATCTAGTTTCGCGGCTAGCCTAGTCCTAGATCTAAATGAAGATTGCGGATGTCTTTTCGATGAACGATCGTTTGTCCTCCGTTTTGGAGTTGGAGGAATCACAATTTGAAGAAAAGAACAAGTTACAATGTCATAATTTCAAATGAGCAGTCTCTCTCTCTCTCTCTCTCTCTCTCTCTCTCTCTCTCTCTCTCTCTCTCTCTCTCTCACTCTCACTCTCACTCTCTCTCTCTCTCTCTCTCTCTCCTCTGTGTATCGCTCGCCTTCTCTTTTTCTTTGTTTGTCTCTGTCTTTCTTTGTCCCCACCTATTTCCCACTCTCTCTTTCTCTCATTCCCTCCTGCCAACTTGGGCATGTCATATACATTTTGCTAGCACCCCCCTCCTCTCTCTCTCTCTCTCTCTCTCTCTCTCTCTCTCTCTCTCTCTCTCTCTATTTATCTATCTATCTCTCTCTCTCCCCCCTCTCTCTCTCTCTCTCTCACACACACACACACACACTAGATTTCTTCCAGGTCTGGGGACTGAAACTTCCCGAAATCACAAAAGAGTTCCCCTACCGGGTCTGTATACTTCGTGACTTTGCTCCCGGTTACCGGGTCTGTTTACACCTCGTTTGAATTCTAATGTCTTCAGTCAGTTCGGCCTACTACTTTTTTAACTTCTTTACTAATTTCTGGATGATGTTGTTTGCACTGTAGTGTAGTGTTGCTGTAGCCTTTTCGGAAGCCTTTGCTTTTGTTAATGGTATACCTTTGTTAATTATTGAGTTACTAAACTGATGTTGACTATTGACTGTCTTAAAACACAGTTGACCGACTGCTTCCTAAGTTCATAGGCTCTGTACCCTAACAAATACTAAGGGAAAGCTCTGATAGTAATCTAATATAGGCCTAAAACTAAAAGCCGAATGAATTGCAGGGAATCTGACCCTCATCGACTGCAGCTCTCCAAGTAAAAAGTCCAAGTGGGTCTGTCAGGAGCAAGGCTGCTCACTCATGCTCAGGGTTTAATGTTGAAGTATTTCAACTCTTTTGTGATTTCGGAAAGTTTCAGCGCCCTCTTGGCTCAGGGTAGACCTAGGTTCTTCTGGTAGATCTATGGCCTAGGCTAGGTCTAGATCTAGATCTAGACAGACAGACATAAATCCTTGGTCTAGTTTCGAGGCTAGCCTAGATCTAGATCTAGATCTAAATGAAGATTGCGGATGTCTTTTCGATGAACGATCGTTTTTCCTCCGTTTTAGAGTTGGAGGAATTACAATTTGAAGAAAAGAACAATGTCATAATTTCTCTCGAGCAGTCATCCTCTCTATTTCTCTCTTGCTCTGTTGCTCGCATTCTCTTTTTCTTTGTTTGTCTCTGTCTTTCTTTCTCCCCACCTATTTCCCACTAGACGTCTATATATCTCTCTTGTTCCCTCCTGTCTCTCTCTCTCTCTCTCTCTCTCTCTCTCTCTCTCTCTCTCTCTCTCTCTCTCACTCACACACACACACAC